CCCCAAAACCCCAAAACCCCAAAACCCCAAAACCCCAAAACCCCAAACTCACTTTCCAGCATTGAATTTTATAAAGACTTAAATAAATGCCTTAAAGGTTTTGATCTTGAAGCAGTTGTGGACCTCTTTGACACTTGATATCCATTACTAAACTCTAGCATTTTTAAATGTCTGCTAAACTGTTTCTTGGTATGATCTCCACAGATCCTTTTCAGCAAGTTATGAAACTTAAGATCATAAGCTCATGATTTCTAGAGATTTATGTATAACACCAAAGCTCTGTTTAATTAACTTACTTGAATATCTCTAGCAGAAACATTAGATCGAGCTATTTTGCTAAACTTCTGTTCTAATTCCTTAAAAAGTCCTTTCTCTCGTTTCTTGAGAACACCTTTAGCTTCTTGTTCTTCAGAATGCTCTAAAGGTAATACTAACTTTTACCTGATTCAGCCCTGGATTTCTCTACACTTTCATTGAAATATTTGTGATAAGGGGTTGATTTAATTCCGAAGTTGTCTGTTATCAGTTCCTGAATTGATTTTCCATTTGCATCAGCAGAATCATCTAAAATTTTGGATCTATGTGTCAAGCAATTGCTTACATTTTGGTAATGCCACTTTCAAGGAACTTCGGTACTAGCTTGACCTAAGTTTGGTTATCAAATTTTACCTGAAAACTATCTTGCTTTAACTTTATTTTAGAGTAATCTTCCTAATGATTAGTAGGAAATTTACTCCAAAGTTAGAGGGTGTTCCAGAACCCTTTCTTGAGTTAATTACTGAAAGCTTTTGTTGGTACATTTTAACCTTTTTGGAGTCCCAAATCAATTTAAACTTATCGCCTGTATCTTTTTGGATAGAACCTGCTCCAATCACATTGAGGTCCATGTTAAGATTTTTGAGATTTAGCTTTTTGGGTGCTTTCTCTTTCAATGGCCTGAATCTGCTTTGCCTATTATTATTTTTACGTAGAGCTTCTGTGTATCCATTAGAGCGCCCTTGAGCTTTATTTGGGAAGAGATATTGCTCCTGCTCTTAAAGATTGAGAGAACAAAAGCTAGAGGATATATCAAACAATTACTTTGTTCTTACTTTCTTTTTGTCTGAAGCTCTTGGTGATATAAATCTTTGAGGATTAAAAACACTGCTTTGCTGCGATTGTAACTTGTGGTCATTAATCTTCTTATCCACCACTAGTGTTAATAAGAGAGAAAATACTTAAAGTTGTTATTCTCCTGAGAAGTTGGTTAACATTAAATTTATCAGGCAGGGGGATCTTAGACGATTGCAATATTTGTCTCTCTTTCTTTTGACTATTTGAACTATTTATAAAAATGTATTATTACATTATTTCTTTCAATTCTGACTTTCTTTTCTAAATCTTTCTTATACTTTAAAAATTCTTGATTAATTTGTGATCCAGCAATTGGAAGTGAATCGTATCTGGATGACACAAGCTTTATTGAATGGTCTTGATTGGATGATCCTTACTGTATTAATATTATAATTATACTTTTTATCGGGTCATTCTTAAACAAATTGACTTCTCTGGCTTTTATTTTCTTAACTTTTGGATGTAAACCGTCTTTATAATCTTGTTTCTAAAATGGTGGTAATCCCGCATGCTCCAATTGCTTACCACAAACCTATTGTCTACAGATTTAGCTTCAGTAAATAACTGAGAGTAGCCTCTCCAGTTGGAACTGTTCATTTATAGTTTTATTTCAAATTTTTATTAACATTAAGGGGTTTTGGGGTTTTGGGGTTTTGGGGTTTTGGGG